TTTATTATTTATTTTTGGGACAGAGAGAGACAGAGCATGAACGGGGGAGGGGCAGAGAGAGAGGGAGACACAGAATCGGAAACAGGCTCCAGGCTCTGAGCCATCAGCCCAGAGCCTGATGCGGGGCTCGAACTCCCGGACCGCGAGATCGTGACCTGGCTGAAGTCAGACGCTTAACCGACTGCGCCACCCAGGCGCCCCGACCCATTCTTAGCTCAGCTATACAAAAAACAGGCGGTGGCTCGATATGGCCCTCCACCTCAGTTTGCTGACTCCTACTCTAAACCAAAGCTTTTCAATGGAATTTTCCAATATGGTAGCCACTAGTCACACGTGGCCACCTAGCCACATTATAAGTACACAAAATTTAAACTTTGTGTACTTTTAGTTAAATTTTTATTTATTTTTATGTAACATCTGTGCCCAATATGGGGCTCGAACTCGTGACCTGAGATGAAGAGTCACATGTCCTACTGACTGAGCCAGCCAGGTGCCCCTAGTTAACTAAAATTTGAACTCAAGTTCATGTGGCTACTGTATAGGACATATAGCTCAAGATCCCCAGATATTTCTGCCCAGACCTCTGGAAACAGAGAGCCAATTGAGGGCCCAGCTTACCTGGCATAACCAATGATGAGGCTCCCAAACACAGTCCCAATTCCAGCCCCAGAACCAGCCACCCCAACTGTGGCAGCCCCAGCCCCAATGAACTTGGCTGCTGTGTCGATGTCCCTTGAAGCAGCGCTGGTTTGGAAACCGCGGCTAGGAATAAGTGAGGTCAGGGGACGTGGGGCTGCCCAGCTGCTGAGGCTCTGTGAAGAAGATGCAGGTAGAGGATAAAGATTTTAAGAAATCCCTTTTTTGTTTCAGAAAGTTTTGAACCATTTAAACCCTTTATGCTACCACATTCCATGGCTTCTCCCCCAAACAGAAAAACTTTTAACTCCCTGGAAAATCTCCTAACATGCTGCCAAGCAGAACTCTTTGATGCAAGAGGTAGACATCAAATACCTTCAAAATTCAGGTGTGCTCTAGAAGTGTAAGACTGAAGGCCTAGCCTGTTCTTGGTGCCCTGAAATCATCGTCTTCCTGGGACCAACTGCCACCAAATGAAGTCAGTAAACCAGGTCACATAATGGTAGTTATCAGCAGCACACATGGGCATGCACTGCCAGTGGCAAAAACTGGAACACTAGATCATATGTGGTATCAACTGTCCTCCACCCTCACCTAAAGCCAATGGCCTTGATCCTTCACTAACTTTAGTCTGTGATGATCGTCCTCAGCACTCCCCCTACTGGTGTTGCCAGGTAACCCTCTTCCCCCCTCACCCCCAACCACAGGCCCAATTTCCACCTTAGAAGGTACCTCATCTGTCAGTGTCTCTGGTGGTTTTAGTGCCACTGCAGACAGTGATCGGCTCAACAGCTGAGAGGTGCTCCTGACCTAGGGGGAATGACATAAGGGCAAGAGGGTCAAGGATGGCTGTGGAGGAATTTCAGAACCACCCCAAGTTGTTTCGTGGATGCCCCATTCATTCTCTTGATCTTCAATCATTCTTTTACTTCCAGTAAATTTTAGACTTAAGAACCAAACCAGTTCTCTTGCTTCCTAGGCTTCTCCTTTGTTTTAAGGGAAGAAACGTACTTCCTTTCGGGCTATGAGGTATTACCCACTCTCCCCATACCCTTTTACAGGCCTCTAGAACAGGAAGAAATCTAAGCCTCAGATGCATTTGCTTCACTCAGTGAGAGAGATATATTTTGGTAATGGCCAACCCATAAGAGGGAAGCCAATGATTAGGGGAGCATTTTTCCCTAGACACATCCTTCAGGAAAATAGGCACAAAGATCCACGTTCAAAATCCACCCCTTCTCGTAGCCTTTTCTGACGAACCCCAAACCAAAGCAGACAACATGGTAGTTAACAGCCAGGGTTTTAATCAGACAGTTCTAGATTCTAATCTTAGCTTTACTTCAGCTGTGTGATCTTAGGACAAGTCACTTAAATCTTTCTAAGCCTGCTTTCTCTTCTACCAAATTGGAATGCTGTACCTCAGGGTTGATTTGAGGAATAAATGAGATTATGTATACAAACTGGTAAACTCAGGTGCTCAATCAATGGTTACCCCCCCCAATAATATTATCACTCCTTTTCACTTACAGATGTATAAACCAATTGTCTCCACCATCTAATAATCTATAAATTCTTCCATGCCGTTGCTTGTTAAGTCAAAATATTTTTCCAGCGTGTATTTCCGTGTGTTTCAACTTGCCACCCAAATTGAAGCTTCCGGAGGGAACTCCCAGGTATGACTCTGACACTCAGCGCAAGATCCTGAACACAGCGTGTACTCGGTCCAAGTTAGGCTACCTACTTCATGCTTACCATTCCTGGCAGGGTTCCAGTTTACAGGCACACAGAGTTTCAAGATAGGAATAACCTGACCTTACTTGAGATTCTCATTTGCACTCTTCTAACATAGTTGGATGAAAAGAATTAACTGGCCTCCAAGGGATCCGAGACAGGGGTGCCTGGTAAGCATTCACTCTCTGCTGTCAGGCTAACGCGGCAAAGGACCTTCCCTCAACCTAGCTGTGAAGAGCAACGTGTGGCAAGGAAGAAACACGATGCCCCTCTTCAAAAACTTTCCCAGAAAAGGCAAGCACTCACCAAGAAGGGGGAGGAGACGAACTTTGCACAGGTATACATTTTCAGGGGATGAGGGGCTGTGGCAGGAGAGCTGGAATTACAAAAGTAGCGCTGTAAATATTGTCCTTGTTCATCAAAGGGTATCTTTTTTTTTTTTTAACATTTGTTTTTGAGAGACAGAGAGAGACAGAGCATGAGTGGGGGAGGAACAGAGAGAAAGGGAGACACAGAATCCGGAACAGGCTCCAGGCTCCGAGCTGTCAGCACAGAGCCTGACGCGGGGCTCGAACCCACGAACTGTGAGATCGTGACCTGAGCCGAAGTCAGACGCTTAACTGACTGTGCCACCCGGGCGCTCCAAAGGATATCCTTAATAGCAGAAAAGGTGCTGTTAAATTTACATGGCCCAAACAGCACAGTAAATGACCTCAAGTCATCAGCAGGGACGGAATTAAAACCCTGAAGTCAAGGGACACCTGGCTGGCTCAGTCAGTTAAGTGTCTGACTCTTAGGTCATAATCTCACGGTTCATGGGTTTGAGCCCTTGCATCAGGCTCTGCACTGACAGTGCAGAGCCTGCTTGAGAGTTTCTCTCTCTGCCCCAATATCCCCGTGTGCACATGTGCACACACACTCTCAGAATAAATAAACTTAAAAAATAAAACCTTAAAGTCAAGATTTCCTCCACACAGCTTCCAAGATTTCCTTATAATCAAGTGACTCCCCCTAGTCTGAACAAGCAGCCACCTGGTCTCAGCTTTGTTATTCATTTCTATAGCTTCACGAGTTGTGGTCAGAGGAAGTTCCCGTGTCTTCTGCCTAAATTTTCCTTACTCTCTCTAAAAGGAACTCTTCTCAAGACTTCATTGTCTGGGACTAAAACTGCTGCCCTTTAAGGACTCTTGGGAGATAGTTGTTGGTGGCCAAGACCCTGGAAGGATCTCCAAAAATCTTTTTACTGAAATCCCTGGAAGTTATTGGACTCCTCAAAAGACTTCCATTTCCTACATTAAGTAACAGGGCGAGGCAGGCCCAGGAAGAATCCTGCCTTTACTCTAATTAGCCACGACTGTTAACGTATTCATTTGCACCATCACAGTAAGAGGCATTCTATTTTGTATGCCGAAGACCTAAAACAGAGCTGACACCCTGTAGGTGCCTAAGTTAGTAGAAATTATCTGAGAGAGGAGTGGGTGGGTTAAAGACCTACAAAAAAGAATTTCTTCAACGTTCATGTGAACTAGTTACCTAAAGGTAGGGATGGTATATGTATTAAAAAATGCATTTTTTTTTTTAATTTTTTTTTTTTTCAACATTTATTTATTTTTGGGACAGAGAGAGACAGAGCATGAACGGGGGAGGGGCAGAGAGAGAGGGAGACACAGAATCGGAAACAGGCTCCAGGCTCTGAGCCATCAGCCCAGAGCCTGACACGGGGCTCGAACTCACGGACCGCGAGATCGTGACCTGGCTGAAGTCGGACGCTTAACCGACTGCGCCACCCAGGCGCCCCAAAAAATGCATTTTTAAAAAAAATACATATTCGGGTGCCACTTTAGACCTTCCTGGACAAGCTCTCTGGTGATAAGGCCCAAGTATCCTATATTTCAAACAAGCTTCTCAAGTGGTACACTGTGCTTCTCAAAGCACAGTCTTTTTTGTTTTTGTTTTGTAACCTTTATTTATTTTTGAGAGAGAGCACAAACAGGGGAGGGGCAGAGAGGGAGACACAGAATCCGAAGCAGGCTCCAGGCTCTGAGCTGTCAGCACAGAGCCCGACGTAGGACTCGAACCCATGAACCACGAGATCATGACCTGAGTCAAAGTCTGATGCTTAACTGACTGAGCCACTCAGGCACCCCAAGAGCACATTCTTAAAATCAGTCCTGAAATGATGGTGGTGGTAGATCCAGGACTTGAAATCTCACACTTAATACTTAATATGCTACAAGTTGAAATACTCAGGATTACTTAAACCTGTTAAAGGACGCTTCCTTAAAGGAGTTTGTACTCAATATTTTCCCAGGTTACACCTCTGAATCCAGAATCTTAGTCACTTTTGGATTAATCCATGCCTTCAACTCTTGTCCCCTGTCTTAAACTGCCCATAAGTTAACTCTAACCCAATTCTGCTGCAGACTGTAAAGGTTTTCTTGGGTCAAAATCCAAAATTTCCCTAATATTTTAAAAAAGAAGGGCTCCTGGGTGGCTCAGCCATTTAAGTGTCTGACTCTTGATTTCGGCGCAGGTCATGAGCTCGCGGTTGGTGAGATCCAGGCCCACATCAGGCTCTGAGCTGACGGCATGGAGCTTGCTTGAGATTCTCTCTCCCTCTCTCTCAAAAAAATAAACAGAGAAGAGAAGAGAAGAGAAGAGAAGAGAAGAGAAGAGAAGAGAAGAGAAGAGAAGAGAAGAGAAGGAGGAGTAAAGCACCTGGCTGGTTCAGTCAATAGGGCATGTGATTCCTGAGTCCTGAGTTCAAGCCCCAAGTTGGGCATAGAGCTTACTTAAAAAATAATAAACAAGTAAATAGTTTTTTCCCCCAAGGCAATTAAACCTCAATATTATCATTTATAAAATATAGCTGGGGGGGGGGGGTTAAATAACGTGCAAACAGCTGAAAGTAGTGCTGACGTGTTACAAGTCCACAACAAAAGGTGGCAATTAAGGGAGCCCTGCGCAAAGTACAGATGCCTCCACTGGCCACCTAACCAGGCAAGTCTGGACCTGTTAGCTTAGGACACCTCGGACCACAGCCTCATCCAGAATCAGCGGGCCTACATCATCATGAGTTTATTCCTTCGTGTAGATCAGCCGAATTAGGGGGCTGCTGACTTACCCATTCCCTTCCTTAAACCTTCTTTTCCTCTTGAGAGCAGGGCCAGGGGACTCTTGGTAGACCCTTGACAGGAAAGCTGGCCGGTGAAGACTATCCCAGGCTGCCCCACACGACTCTCTTGGGCCTGCTGCCTCTAACAGAAAACCTCGCTATTAGCCCACCACTTCTGTTTCCTCCAACTTCACTGGAGTGGAAGGAGGAGAAACTGGGAGACAGCCAATGGTTTCAAAGAAACCGGCCTCTTTCCTGCCATAGGTCTCCCCAGGGCACAGCCTGAACGGAGAAGGTGTTTTGGCTGTTTTGTTCTACCACGTTCACGTTTACTTTTAAAACAGACTATCTGCTCTCTCCATTGCTCGTGGCATCTGAAGTCCTGGGGCCAAGTCTTGGCAGTTGCTAGGTAAGAATGGAACGAGTCAGAAAGCGAAGGGAAAGCAATAAAGAGGAGGAGAGAGCCGGAGGTTTGTGACAACTCTGAACAGTCTAGAGGGTGAGACGAGAGCATCTGTAAGGGTCGAGAGGAAAAGGTGAAAACGACCCTCTGGGATTGGACTTTCGCCGGCTCCAAGGCGGTCTTCCCTCCCCCCTCCCACGAGACATCCAAGATGGCGCCAGGCCCGCGCGGTTGGAGGTCACGGCACGCGGAAGGGGCAGCCCTAAGGCGCGGGAGTACCAGGCCCAAGGGAGGGCGTCAGGGCCAGGGTGGGAGCATGCAAGGTAAGGACCTCAAAGGACTCGTGCGCGGTGGGGTGTCCCGCGCGCGTGCGCGGCGCATCGCGGGCGCGAGGGCCCAAGGCCTTACCTGCTCCCAGTTCACAGAAGACAGAGAGGGGCGGGGGGAGGGCGGGAAGAGCGAAAGGAAGGCTCGGCGCAGACGCGGCCTGAACCAACGAGTCGTTCTTCTAAGGATAGAAAAATCGCAGCGTTGCGGGTCGGCCCAGGCGCCACAGCGCCGCCTGCCAGCTTTGTGGCCGCATTCGGCCAGTCGCTCCACCTGGTGTTTGAGAGGAGAAACTGCAGGCGGAGCCGACCCTCTACAGAAATGAGGACAACTGCAGTGGAAACGGATCTGTAACGTGGCCGGCGGTTTGGTCGGCTCGGCGTTTGGGATCTTGGGACTCACGTCCCCGTACCCAGCATGTGCAGTCACATTGTCAGCCCCGCCCACACCAGAAATTCAGTGTTAAATCACAAACACCGGGTTTGGGGTTCGGTGCCCAAATGTGGCAGAAGGAAAATGAAGTCATGGGACTCCTGTCTTCTGTCGCCCAGGGACCCTGACTTTATGGATGGGAAACCCGTTCCGTGGGCGAATAGTCAGCAAAGTGCCCCAGCTGCCTGTGGCCGCCCCGCCTTTATTTTCCTCTCTGTCTTTCTTATTCTAGCCATCAGCCGTGAGGAAACCAGCGTCATCGAACGAGAAGATAGGGGCTAATGATGATTGTGACTCAGGCGTCCTGACACTAAGCCTTCTCTCCGGAGTCCTGAGACAGTCAAGGAATAGTAGGCACCAGGGACCTGTAGTGAGGCTGTGAGGTCACTGCAGGCATGCCCGGGCCTCTGCCCAGGCTCCATCCGTGGGAGTTAAGCAGTTCCCCATAAGGTGCTCTCATGGAAGCCTCTCCGCTTCTCCCTCGTGCCCTTTTGCTCTTCCTTTCCAAAATAAATTGGGGGTGGGGGTGGGGGAGCTCCGGCCCTCATCCTTTCTTCTAGGCCTCTTGGTCTCGGGAGACAGGTTCTGAGCAGCCCCCTTGGAAGGAGGGCAGCAGGGCGTACCCACTTTTCCTCATGCCCAAACCCCAGCTACCCAGGCATCGCGCTTGAATGCAGCACGAGAAGGACGGGGAAAGCTCACCAAACCCCCATAAAAAATAAAAAATAAAAAGAGAGCCGCGGCTGTAAATAAAGCCAAATCCGCCACCCTCTGAGGGGCCGTTTGTCCTCCCCTCCTTGGCCCCGTCCTTCCCGCCGCCCCCTCCCGGCTCCCGGGCCCCGCGGCGCCCCGGCCCCGAGCTCCTCCATTTAATCGGATTTGGGAGAAGGGGAGGATAAATCACGGCAGCAGCTTTACGGTCCCGGAGGAGAGGCGAGCCGCAGCCAGGCACACCCCGGCCGGCGATAAAAACCGCCGCTGAAAGCCCACGGAGCAATTTCCCGGGACCCCGAGCGACGCCATTACAGGAATGTAATTTTGCCCGGATGAGGCCCCGAGTTTAATTATCCTCGCGGAGGAATTTCAATGCGGCCAATCCATCTTGCAGGCGGGCGGCAGAGGGATTTATATGGGCCCGTTATTTCACACCGATCCTCCATCTGCATTTTTATGGCCCTGAGCTCCTGAAAGGGAGGGGAAAGAGTGGGGAGAAATCGGAGACGCGGGCGAGGAGAGAAGGGTGGGGGACTTCCCGCCTTTCCTAAATCCACGATTCCAGCTCGGGCGAGGATTCTCCCTGGTTGCCCTGCGATTCCCCAATATCCCTTCCGTTCCAGTTGTTGACTCGGGGTGGAAAGGGGGTGGGGGTAGGTGAAGAATGGAGCTGGGGATCGTTGGGAGTCAATCAACAGGTATTTACCAAGTACCAATTGGTGCCAGGCACGGTGTCAGATGCTGCGAGCAGAGAGGGAAGCCGGGCCGGCCAGGATCTCCCCTGAAGTCCCCAGACACCCCCCGCCCCCCCGCCCATCCTGAATTCCTTTCAGCTCTCAGCTTCACAGCCTCCCAGGCAAAAAGTCCTCCGTCCTCAGGAGCGGCCACCACCAAACGGTTGTTGCAGCTGTTTGTTGCGACAATTCAGACCCTTCTCGGATATCGCCGACAATCCCAAAGCGGGATTGGGACCAAGGGGCCCACGAGGAACCTAAGCTGGCTCCTCCCGCAAGCTGTTAGAGCCTGCAATGTTTAATTCTCCCCTACCCTCGTTCAGTGGTGGGCTCTGGATTCACGCAAACCTGGGTTTCCAAGCCACTGTGATCTTGGGCAAGCTGTTTAACCCCTCTAAATCGATTTCCTCCTCTGCAGATTTGGAATAATAATAGTGCTTACCCCAGAGCAAATATTGGGATAATAGATGTGAAGCTTTTAGCAAGGTGCTTGGAACTCAGTAAGAGGTCAATACATGATAGTAATAATAATAATAATAATAGTTATTGTTATTGTTATTATCATTAGAGTTGGGAGCATTGCAACTCAATTCTGCACTGCTCCCTGGAGACTCGATTGCAAGGTCCCTTCAATGATATCTCCTGAGACTCAACTTATCACTTACTGAACTTTTCCACCCTCATAAATCATGCAAAACAAGTTATTTGACAGGTAGGTGGACGGAGAGATCTGTGGGGAGGGCCAAGTATTCGGGAGGCTATTGCTACCAGGCCTGAAGTCAGAAATTCAATCAGTAGGGAAACAGACTATGTAAAACGGTTGAGCTACGTGAGGGAAGAGTGAATTTGAAGACCACGAAAGAGAACGTTAGCGAAGGTCGAGGGATCTTCTTAATCCAGGGCTTGGGAAAGGGTCCTTCTTCCACTTCAGTGAGGGAAAACTAGGATCCAGGAAGGAAAGGGTGTGGAGCCAGACTATCCTTTCCAATCAATCCCTTTCTTTTCCTACCAGACCATGTAACAAGGTTGGCCTGATTGGCCAGTTTTTCTAATGACTGTTAGTGGCACATTCTGACTGGTTAGCAGCCTCCCTGCACAGTGGTGACGAAAAAATGAGATTGATCTTTTCTTTCTTAGGATTGGTTAACAGCCCTCAGGGGGGCCAGAGACTCATTTTAATTGACTAGCGAGGCTAGGAGGGAGGTCCAGCACCTCTCACATGGAAATTCTGGGTGTTCTTTTCCACAAAGGTCACCAAGAACGAGTCTTGATTGGCTTATGCATGTTTGCCTTCGGACGGGAGACACAATAGCTCTGAGAAGAAAAGTCAAAAGGATCTCGCAAGGCATGCCACAGTTCAGTTTGAAACCCCAAACAGAAAGATGGATTCACAGAGAGAAGCATAAGACGGATAAAAAGAGAGAGAGAGTAGGACACAGAGAAATGCAAAGAAAAAAAATTGCCAGAGAGAAGAGGAAGTGTTTGAATAATTTATTTTTCACTTCTGAAGGCTAGGATGAGGCTACTTTATGATGCGTGTTGCTAGATGCACATGTCACCGGCACGTGGCACAGAAAGAACAGCTGTCTTGGGAGCAGGAGACTGGGAGTCTAGTCCCAGCCTTACCACTAACTAGGTGAATAACTTTGCAAGTTACTTCATCTCTCAAAACTCTAATTTCCTCACTTGGAAAAATCAGGGAGAAAAGTAGGTGGTTTCTGAAGCTCTCTCCAGTGTTAGCTTTCTAGGATATTCTCTCATTCTGTTAAACAGGCACTTTTGTACAAGTTGAAAGGGCTACCTTTGTATTACCAATCAGGACTATTCTTTGTTTTTTGTTTTGTTTTTTGTTTGTTTTTAGTTTATTTTTTTTTTAGTAATCTCTACATCCAGTGTGGAGATTACTCACAAGCCCAAGACCAAGAGTTGCATGCTATTCTCGACTGAGCAACCCAGGCACCCCCAACAAGGACTATTCTTTTTCTTTATTTATTTTTAACCTTTACTTATTTTTGAGAGACAGAGGGAGGCAGAGCACAAAGAGAGAGGGAGACACAGAATCCGAAGCAGGCTCCAGGCTCTGAACTGTCAGCACAGAGCCCGACGCTGTGCTTGAACCCATGAACTGTGAGATAATAACCTGAGCCAAAGTCAAGACGTTTAATCTGTTAAGCCACCCAGGCGCCCCCCCCAACAAGGACTATTCTTAAGTCTTGAACCCTTCTATTTGCGATTGTTAATTTCAAGCTCCCGGGCCAGTGGGTGCTGACTGATGGATTTCCTGTTTTCTCATGCCAAATCAGTTCCCCAGGATAGCAGGTGGTGAGCCATCAGTAAACCTCCCTATTAGTGGAGGAAGAAAACAATAGATGGAAGGAGAGAAAGAATCAGTAGTATCCGGGCTTCTGAGGGAGGGGCCAGTGGGACAGTTGGTGGCAGAAGGACAGCCAAACAAATTTTGAAGTTCCTTTGAATTTGTGTGATGAATTTGTACAGGTCCTACATATTTATCTAGAAGCCATGATTAAGTATCTATGTAAACATAGATTTGGTGCTTGCCGTCTGGTGGCTCCTAAGCCAAGGAACACACACAGACAAAACAGAAAATAAAAGTCACTGTGATATAATGTGAAGACCTAAGGACACAAACCAGAGATCTGAATCTAAATTTTGTAATACTACTAATTAGTCATATAACTTTGAGAAAAATCACTTCACCTCTCTGGACTTCAGCTTTCTCAGCTGAAACGTGTGGGAGAGCCCTAGATGATAATTAAGTTCTTTTTTCAGCTTTAAATGTAAATAGCATAGCTTTGTCCTTTCTGGGTTGCCCTCGTCTCCTGTGACTTCAAATAAGCAATCAATGTTTACTGAGCATCTACTACGTGAAAGGTATTGTGCTTCGTGGTGTGAGTGGGAATAAAACCAGTGTGAATGGGAATAAAAACAGTGTGAATGGGAACAAAAATAATGGGGATAAAAATAAAAATAAAGAGGGGGTGCCTGGTGGCTCAGTCAGCTAAGCGGCCAACTTCAGCTCAGGTCATGATCTCACTGTTTGTGAGTATGAGCCCCACTTCGAGCTTTCTGCTGACAGCTTGGAGCCTGGAGCCCACTTCCAATTCTGTGTGTGTGTCTCTCTCTGCCCCTCCCCTGCTCACTCTCTCTCTCTCTCTCTCTCCCAAAACTGCATAAAAGATAAAAAAAATTTTTTTAAGACAAAAAATTATCTTCGTAAATTTATAAT